TATGCAAGTAGAAATAATCATATCACTAAAGGAGACTCCGTACAAGACGGAGACAGGACATGCTGCACAGCTCAGAGACTTTTTTTTTCCAGGTAAATCAACTAAAAATACAAATAACAATGAAATAGTATATTAAATTTATAACCTATTTTCTTTTTAAAATACATATATGCTTACAAAAGTCGAGATAGATTGTGAATATATATCTTATTCAATTTTTCTCTTTTTCACAGAACCACGGAGTGGTGCACGGACACCCTCTCATCCTTGTTGTGTTTTCTAAGAGTTTACTATAATTTAATATAGTTTACTATGATTTTGGATTGATCTGATTGCGCATTCTTGAGATTCATATCTAAATCAGTGTCCACCAAAACATCCATACGTTTCTTATGCAAGTATAAATAATCATCAGTAGTTGTATCAGTATACACCAAATTATATAATCCAATTTCCTTCGACAACACTTTGTATTTCCTCCTCCTCTGTATTTCCTCATCTTTTCTATATTTCCATTCCCCAAAGGTAAGTTCACAGACAAACAAGATGTTCTTTTAACACATTTTCATGATGATTTTAATATTTCTAACTATGCTTACTTCTTGATGAATGAAAGAAAATGAGTAAGAATTACAAAAAAAATCCCAAATATCCATCCAGGCCAAAGTGACTGGACTGCCAAAGTTATTGTGGCTGAAAAGAGTTCACCCAAATCCGCTAGAAATGGTTCTACCAGATACTTAAAAATGACATTAATAGACACTGAGGTATGTTGTTTCTTATATATATTTAAGGCACAACTATAAATACTATACTCTCTACTTATTTTTTTTTCCTTTTTGTTATAATATAAAAGGGAAATAAGGTGCAGGCTGAAATTTTCGATCCCAACATATCAGCTCTTGAAGATAGATTCATTCTATCCAAGACATATTTGATATATAATGCAACAGTCACATACATACCACCGCAATTTAAGGAAATAATAGGTAAATTCCAATGGACGATCTCTGGAACAACCAGAATACAAGAGATTTGGGAAGACCATAGCGCACTACCGTCTTCTACGTATGTGTTTACTCATTTTTATCAAGTACAGGATTGCATGGACACAAATACAGACATTTGTAATTTCTAATACCTTCCTTTTCCATTATTACTACTTATTGTTTTTATATATACACCTACTAATTATTTATTTGTTTCTTTGCCAATCTTTTTAGCTATCCTTGGAGTAGCTATTGATATTTAGCCAAAAAGATTGATTCAAATGCATTTTGGATCACAATCTTATATACATGATGTGGTTCTTGTGAATGATGAGTTTGTACATCTACTAGTTTATTATATTTGAATCAATCTATTAAATCAGACTATTATAACTTCTAATTTTTTTCCACAGGTTTCAAATAATAGTGTTAACCATGTGGAATGGTTTTGTGGAGAGAGAATGTACTCTTATTTAAGATAATTTAACTAAGAGACCAATAGTTGTTGGAAAATAGCTTAAAGTATCATCGTTCAACGGTAAGCTTTACATAAATATATTCATTCAGTTTTTCTTTACAAATTTTCACTTAATTATTACAACAGACCTTTCAATATCTACAAAGCCAAGCAGCTCTGTCATCATTGACCCTTCGTTTGAACAAGCTACTCAATTGAAGTCGTGGTAGTTGCTCTTAAGCCTTTCTTCCTTTGCTATTGTTTTACAGCCTATTTGTTTGCTACAGTTGTTAGTATTAAATCATTGCTGAACGAAATAACTTTAGCAGCTTATTCATGTTAGAGTTAAATCATCCCTGAACAAAAAAACTTACTGTTTTAATCAATTTTTGGGCGTTTAGTTTGATTTACTGTTTTAATCAATTTTGTATAAAGGGTGGATACAAATCTTCAAAAGCTCAACGACATTGTTGCAAAAAAGTGTTATTATGAATTAACTTCCTCGAGGGTATCTGTTCCAAAAGAGGACAAAATCACCCAGATAAAAAATATAGAGAGAATTTACTTGTAGTGAGTGGTTTTTATATTAAATATTTACATAGTGTAGTTTCATCTTATTCATTTTCCAACATATTTTTTATTTAATTAAAATAGCAAAACTACTTTTTGTTAGGAGCAAAGGCAGATATCACATATCATGATCAATCATTCTGGTATATGTCTTGTAATAACTGTAATAAATCTACTTATGGTGATTTTGACGAAATCCATTGCTGCTCATTGTGCAAATATTCTAAAGCTCGTGCTATTCCAAGGTCATAATGAGTTTAATACAATAAATGTTTTTCACCTCTTATATAATCTATTAATTGTATATGAATGTTATGTTTTGTTAATAATAGAGCAAGAGCTTTTATCAAATTGCAAGACTTATCAGATGTATTTATGCTACAATGATAGGACGGCCTGCCGAAAAGTTCTTACAGTGCTCCACACTCATGTTAATGAAAGAAATTGCTCAAGTGCATGTCTTAGTATAAAAATATATTCAATTATTATTACACTATCATGCATTCATTTACATTATTAACATTCATTTTTTCTTTTTTTTTTTTTCCAGGAAACAGCTGTTCCAGAATCAATTGTCCCTTTGCCAAATGAAGAATTGTTTTTTTATGTTAAAGCTATGAAATAAAAAAATGGAGAAGAATACAAATACGATGTCATTTTTGTTATAGACGAATCTTCAACAATAACAAAAAGTCCACACAACAGCGTTGATGAAAGCACATCCCTAACTCCCTTAGCTAAATCATTGCATTTCACACATGATTGTAATGAATCATCAGCAAAAAGAGAATTACGCTTTGCTTCTAAGGAAGATGGAGATGAAAAGATGATGGTGGTAAAGGGAAAGCAATTGCAATGAGTGAATCAGATGATGAAGTTGATGAACTTACTGAATGATTGATGATATATAATGTTAAACAATTGGGATACACCTTAAAGATAGTTTTTGTGAGAGCTAGAATAAGTTTTTGTTGCTTTTGTCTAATTCCAGTGAATGAAATTATGAAGTTTAGAATATTAATTTTGTAACGGTGAATTAGTTATTAACCAAACATCATTTATATTTTAGTTTGGTTCTATAAATGTTGAACATCTTGTTTTGTCTTGTATTCAGCATATATTTAAGTAATGTTTTGGTTCATCTCCATTCCAATTTTCACATCAGTAATAATAATGCAGCTCTCTTGTGTGGTCAGTATATATTTAAGTAATGGTTTACTTCATGTTTGATATAGCTCTTTCTTTTGAATCTATTTTCAATTAAATGGCTTTAATATTAAGTATAACTACATGCATTCACACATTCACCTACCCAAGCCTATACACTTTTACCTACCCAAGCCTTTACACTTTCACACTTTCATTCGGTAACCACTGAGTTATTGACCCCAAATTATTTGATAAATTGAAAACCTACATCTACATGCCCAAATTGAAATCGTCGACTGTCGAGTCCGACTTCCCTCTCAAATGTCCATTGAAGCCGCGACCTCCAACAACGACCACCGATCGTTGACCATTAGAAATCTGTAAAAAAAATTTAATTATGGTACAAAACCGAACCCGAACTGTCCCATAATTATATTTGGATTCAACGGTTTCATTTATTAATAACATAGGGGTTACCAATATGCTACCAGAATGAAAAGTTGGAGATGAAAATTTTCATTTTAAGGGTTAGGGACCAAATTATAAGAAAGCCATAAAGCAAGAGCACCCTCCTCGATTCTCAAGCAATATTCTGCCACCAAAACACTTGGCTCAAAAGCCTTTTCTTATCTACCACGTTTGCCATATGGTACGTAGTGAGCCCTAACAATCATCAATATTTTAAATTTCCTTGGAATTTCTTAGACAGAGGTTAATTAGACTCTTCGTTTTTCTTGTACTATACATATATTTAAAAAAAATACTAATGAGTTTGACATAGGCCTTTCTTGGTTTAACTTTTTCTATTTTCTCGCCCTTTTCGGATAAGTAATAAGATTTCGTAAATAATCTATACTTGAATCGTTGATTGATTTCATGTTTATTTTGGTGGTAATGACGGACAAAGGTGTTTTATTTAGGTTGACAGTGAAATTTCTAATGATACTATAAGGCGGCTATAAAATTAAACAGATTACTTCAACTCCAAATATAGAGGATTTCGTTGGTTGTAATTGATACGAGTCCACATGTCAAATGAATTTTATGAGTGTCCGAGTTTATTTATTACATTAAGCCCTTGAGTTCTCACGCTTGTATTCTGCAACTCAATTCATCCCATTACTAAATAGACGAATCCTATTCAAAATATGAACCATAAAAGAAAATATATGTAACTGAGATAATGCTATTTTTGAAACTCGAACTATATGAAAAATTGGGCCTCTAACTAATTTGTTTGTACATATACAATGTAGGGCACAAATAATCCATTTTAACTATGTCGAATCCTTCTCTCTCCTTCACTACATATCTAAGCTTGTGTTTCACACCCATTTTGGAGAAAAAATGAGTTCTGGAATAGTGATTGATGGAAGAATGTGTGGTTAAAAAATAATGAAAAACTTTAAATTTGTGTGTAATATTATTTTATTTGAAGAATGTGTGGTTAAAATGAAGAAAGAGAAAAAAAAAATGAGAATGAAAATGGGTGTCAAATGGGTATATTTACTTTTAACTTCAAAAATTTCTTACAATGCACAAAGATTTATTTATTTGTTTGTTTTTTTGTTCCGAACCCACAAATGCTGCTTCTTGTATTTAAAGTAATTTGTCGACTAGTCAATGCAAGGAGGCAAAGAGAATATTGTTCAACTAGAAATCGTAATATGCAATTAGAAAGAGTTTTTGTCAATAATCAAACATCCAAAAATAATCTGCTGAATGCTTTTACTTTTAGGTGGTAATTAATTATACCGCAAATTAATCACTTTCTTGAGGCAAAATATATAATCGATTACAAGATCAAGATCTGACCTTTTTAACTTCAATTTCATTCAGTGAGGTTGCCCTAACCTTAAAGCTACATAAGCCAAAACTCTATATCCCACCAACATTACAATCAAAGCAGCCATATCCAACGCCATATTATCAATACCAAGATACTTTATGGCTGGAAATTCTTGAACCCTGCATTCTCTACCTTCCAAGCCACATTCATAAACCTCATTCTTGGAGTACTGCACAACTACAAGAAACTTATAACAGTAATGGCAAAAGGAAAAATATTTTAACCAGTTAATGAAAGGTGGCATATGTTGAATGTAATATCCACTGGCAAGTAAAAACACTAGAATCATTACAGAAGACAAGGTTGTCGCCTGCTTTAGGTCCATTAAAACTGCACCGAGGGCAAGGCCGAGTCCCTGAGAAACTAGAACGTTGAAGAGAATCATGGAAAGGGTTAGGAGGAAAGTTATAAACGATGGTTTGAGGCCGCTCATCCAGTATGTGATTGTAGTGAATATGGTGGGAAGTACAAGCTCCATTGGTAAGTCGCCTGCGATTCTTGCGAAGTAATATGATGAGAGATGGTACATGCCCGAGGAGAGTTCTCTTGTGAGCATTGGCCTTTCTTGTGGGAACGTGAATACGGCATTGAAGAGAGGGAAGAAGCCCCAGAATATTGACAAGAAAAAGAGCAATCCCACCTGTCCAATATTTTCTTGAAGTTTAAATTTAAATAAATATGTTCCCGTCTCTAAAAATTTTATTTTTGATGAGTTGGGTCCAATACGGTGTCAAAGTGAATAGGGACATGAGCTCAAGTCTCATCATCATCATTTATAAGAATTATACACGTGTCATGCACTTCAATAAAAGATAAATTTGATGTGCACATTAGGAAGAACGTTGAAGATTAAATGTAAATAACTAAAAAATATGTCGCATTTCTAAAAGTTTAAATTTTTAAATTAAATAGTTCAATACGTTATTCGGTTAGACAAAAGAGTCGAGTTTTATTCTCATTGTCCCCTTTATAAAAATTATGCATGTACGGGGCATTTAATGGGTTAATAACCCAAATGGTCATTGACCTTTGCAAATAGTTTTCAAAGGGTCATTAAACTTTAAAAATCCTCAAAGTCATCACTGAACTTTGCTAAAGGTTTACACGGGTCGCTGAACTTTAAAAATCATTATATTCATCACTAAACACTTTTTGCAAAGTTCGACGACCATTTGGGTTATTAACCCAAAATTAAGCAAATAAACTTTTTCTAATAACTTGGAACTTTTATATGAATTGCTTCAATTGTTAGATTTTTAAAGAAGGTGAATCAACACTATATATTGATAATCTCAAGTTACCAATAACTAGAATTATCAATTGAGCCGAGCTAAACCCATGCCCCAATGGTAAATTTATATTTGTTAACTTTAATTTCATTTATTAATTATTCACGTAAATGCATTTTTTCACACTGTTAAATTTTTTTTAAAAAAAAGTTTTTCCGCTATATTTTCAAATTTTCTATGAATTGTTTATGTCGTTTTCACCTTTTTATATTTCTCAGTTATATTTAGCTTTTATTTTTTTTACAAAAAAATAAAAATAAAAAATTGCAATCGCACGAAGATAACTAAACTAGGCCAATTTGAGGTACTGTATATTTACCTGATCTTGTATATGATTAGCATCTGAATGCCACCATAAAAGTCCAGAAATAATTGAAACAGACAACACTTGGAAAATTCTTAGGCATGAAAATGACTCATGTTTCCTTTCCTTTAGTCCTCTGCTTAATAACACCTTGAATTGCAACCACCAACTGTTTGCCCATTGACTTTCAGAACCTGATAATTATCAAGAGAAATGAATTTTTAATGAACCCATAAAAAGCAATATAATAATTTAATGCAGCTCTATGCCAGCACCAAAGTCACTTAGGACAAAAGATTTTGATATATACTTCTTGATGACAATGAATTTCCAGGATGAATTTCATCTTGAGATGCTCTTTGAATTTCTTCTTTAAGAATTGGAAGCAGGTTCTTTTTGTAAGATGATATAAGGAATTGTTTTGTTGAATTATGCTCATCATGGCTGCCATGAAACTCCGTTTGATCATCGTGCCTTGTCTCTTGAGTGACACCTGTTAATCAAAATAAGAGTTCAAATTTTTAAGATAGAATTTCAAAACTTGATAACACTTTGGATATTTCAGTCATTTTCCAGAATGCAAAATATAGATATATGCATTTGTGTTATTGAATATTACTAGAAGGAAGTATTCAAAAATAAATGTGAAGACTCCCTCCGTCCAATTTATATAGGCTCACTTTTCTTATTTTCTTTTTCCAATTATATAGTCATGTTTTTTTATTAAAAATATTTTATTTTGTTTGTTTATTAGTATACCCTTATTTCTTTACTACTTCTAATAATAATTTACTACTAGTTATTGATAATTAAATGAGGGTAAACTAGAAATGTTTTTGGCAAAAATTGCTTTTTCAATAATATTAAATAAGATTTTTAAATTCATGTGAAAAACAAAACAAATTTATATAAAAGGGACGGAGGGAGTATTTTTTATTAGGTAGATATCTGAAACAATATCAGATATACTGGGACCAAGAAAAGTAAAAGCTCAATTAAAAGTAGGAACTTTAAGTAGTCAAAGCTCAAAAAATAAAAGGTGAGGGCATGCAGAAGAATAGTTTATGCTTTTGACTAATTAAATAGATACGTGTGCGATGCATATAGGTTATTATTTGTCTTTGCTTTGCTTTATTATGGATTCAGCTATTCAAAATCATATGAATCAATCTGGGATGGGATAGGATAGGGTGGGGTGGGGTGGGGGTAAGAAGATGATCGTTATTCATTAATATTATCAGCAAAACATATTTATTCAAATGACTGATTAGCATTAGCAGAAGATTAGATATGATATTTTCATTTCAAATGTCCAATTATGTAGAATATATTCTACGTCATATCAAAACTTTATTATAAGTTTATGGGAGGTAGAATCAGAGGTTTCAAGAACCAGAATTATCCTAAAATCTTAGCATTTTAACTGGCAAGAATAAGATTTTTAGTATAAGCTCATATTTCTACAAACTCCGACAATAAACCTCCGTTTGTTTCTCATTTTTCATCCATAAAAATGAAAAATATAACTGTTATCCATCACATCAAGCCATCAATTTTGAATTTCTATCTTTTGTGTTGGGTCCAATAACGACTGTATTTTTCATTCTCATTCTACAATAATAAGAATCAAATGGACCCTAAATAAATATTATTAAAAGAATCTATCTATTATTTTTTGCAGTGGTTAGGCTATGAAGTGAAAATGTAGTTATTTTTGTAGAGTAATTAACAAAAATAGGTATTAAAATGAATAGTTCGTACCATTAGCAAGATCCAGAAGGAAATCAGCAGGATTCATTATATCAAACCAGGGCTTGTACCCAATTGAGGCAAAATAGTCTATCACTTTATGGACACTGCCACTGTAAATTGGACATCCCTCTGATAACACTATCACCTTATCAAACATCATGTACAAACTACTAGAAGGCTGATGAATGGTGGTGATAACCGTCCGGCCACCGCATGCCAGCCTCCTGAGTGTAGCAACAATCCGGCGAGCTGCGGTGGAGTCCAGCCCGGAGGTAGGCTCATCTAACAACAAAAGGCTTGGATTCACTAGCATTTCTTGCCCAATACTAACCCTTTTTCTCTCCCCACCTGATATTCCCCTCAATAGAGTCCCACCAATCATAGTATTTCTACATGTTGTCAATCCTAGTTCCATGATAATTAACTCAACATGCTCAATTTTCTCTTTTCTAGCGAGCTTATTTGGTAGCCTCAACAAAGCAGCATATGTTAGGGTTTCAAGAACTGTCAGGTGGGGATATAGCACATCATCTTGTGTGACGAACCCGGTTTTTCGCTTAGTCGAGCTTGAAAAAGGGAGTCCATTGTATGTAATCGAACCGGATATCTTTCCCAGTAACCGGCCAGCTAGGGCTGTTAGAAGAGTGGTTTTGCCACTACCTGACGGGCCAAGCATGGACAGAAGTTCACCAGGTCGAACAACACCACTAACACCACTGAGTATGTTAAGTTTGACCTTGGATTGAGATGAAGAAAAACAATTTCCTCCATTACTTCGTAACTCAATGGTGTATGACACATCTTGAAACTGCACAAAAATAATTAAAAAATTACAAATACAAAAGGAAGGCCAAACCTCGTTTATTAGAACAAAGGTCCTGGGTTTAATTTGATTCATATCATGTAATAGTTGTCACCTCTCTAATAGCTTAAACTTGAAAATTGTTTGTTGAAGAAACAATTTAAATCAATATTCTCGTTTCTTCACTGTAGTTCCAACTTTTTAGTTGAGATAATTAACAAAAACAATGGACCACTACGTACCTTAAGGGTGATGGGCCATAAGGATTCTCGTAGATCCGAAAATCTAACGGTAGTAGCATGATTTTGTTCTGGTATTTGATCATCTGAACATGGGCTTACATAGCTGGTTGAACCAGGTGACTCAACGTGCACAGAAATATTATTGGTTCCATTACAGACTAGAACATTAGCTGCACCTCCATTGATTTCTTGCTCAAGAGGCATCATTTCATTCGAGAAAAAGAAACACACGCAGTGGAAAGAAGAAGAAGAAGAAGTGCTCTTGTTGTTTGGGATAATTAATGGTTGGCTTACATGCAGAGGAAAGATTTCAAAGTAGATTGCACGAGAAATGGTTTATGCAACGACACATGATATAGCTGAAAGAATTCTACTAGGGAATTAGGTAGCCAACTGTATTTGTAGTCTTAGCTAGGCGATATGCATTACAGAATTATTAATTGGACAAAGAAATAAGCTACTTGTACATTTCATTTTGTACATCTTCTTTGACATTTCATATTGTGTAAAAATCAAAACTATTGATTGCTTTAAGTGTTTTTCAAATCGACAATATTGAGTGTCACTTTTGTTTGGATAAGGTAAGTGCATTCACGTTATGGGATATAAACAAAACTGCCAACCAACATATGAGTGTAGCAAAACTGTTAACGAAATCCTTTTTGACTTCTTTGTTAAATATAAAACGTTATTTTCCAAGTTTCTTTTTGGACAAAAGAAATGATTTTATTGTTTTCTTTTCCTTTACCACGTGTTGTACTAATTGGCACACACCTTAACAAATTTATTATTGAAAAAAATATTATGAAATATTTTAAGGAGGCTGCTGCATGAAAACTACAAACCTCATAAATACATTCAGCATGCAAAAAAAAAAAAAAATGTATTATTAATGTTATGTTTAAAATAAAATATAAATGAATATATGTAGCTCTTCTCTAACAATTAACTTTCTAGACGTGATAATTAACGTTATATTAGCTAGAGTCGGTAAAAGATCTAGTTTCAATTTATGTTACTATCTATTTATAAAAATTATGTTATATATGTCATAATTTTAAACAAATATTAAATTTCGTGTGTACGTGGAGAGTGTGTTGAAACAAAATTTGAATAAATACATATGACGCATCTCTTAACGGTTTAAATTTTTATGATGAACTAGTTCAAACTTTTAAATGATCTATTTACGTTACGACTAATTGCACGAATAATGATGACATACACTTTAGAAGGTTTACAAAGAATACGTGTTTGCTTTTGTTGCTAAAAATGGACATAAATTAGGCAATGTTTATTTATATTTATTTCAAACATAAAAAAAAATGATAACAATCCTCTATATGAATTTTTTTATTTTTTCTTTTGTGGAGATGAAAAGGCAGATGTTACAGTCATTATATTGAATTTTTGTTCCTGCTTTATTGTACAATGAGATGTCATATTGTACAATCTCCAAATACTGTTGTCGATCTGATATCTCTCATATTCGATTCATTATAATACAAAGGAAAAGGGAAAAAGATTTCATGCATGGATAGTGACGACAAGAGTTGTAAATGTGTGTGTGTGTGGGTGGGGGGGGGGGGGGGGGGGGGCGGGGAACATTTTAATCACAACTTATAGGAACAATTATTTGCTCCACTCAGCTAATTAAATAATATTTTCTTCATTTCATTGGGAAATAAATTCATTTCTCCCACTTAACTTTTAACTTAATTCCCAATATACCACTTGTTTTTAGAGATTTTCAAAACATTAGTAAAACTAAATTTTATTCATGAAATGGTAAAATTAATTTCAGTTAAAGTTTAAAAAGTTGTTAAAAAATTGATTTCAAAGTTAACAATTAATTTTAAATACTTATTTCATGGGATCACGCTATTATCTACTTTTTTACCATATATTTTAACAACTTTATCAAAATTTATTGAACATTTTACCAATACTTTCGTTAAACAACTCCTAAATATATTCCTAATTAACATCTACCGTTTATTCAAACTTCTCCATAAGTTTCGTAAAGTTTCCTTCAAATTTTTGAATCATATACTAACTAGCTGAACCTTTTTCCTTTAATCCAGGAAAAATGTGCATGATCTTGCGAATTACTTTTGAAGAAAATATATGTAATAATCATTTTATTTATAACAAATCTATTTTGATTCTTTAGGAACCAATAATGTGGACGACCCGAAAGTTGATGATTGATGACATAATTCCTACTTCTAAATGAATTCCACAATCAATAAATAAATAATTGTTTTTTAAATGAATTTTCAAAACAATTTAATAATATGAATTTTCAAAACGTATTTAAATTGCAAACGTTAACTTTTCCATGTCTCTATATGGATCGTCACCCACACTTTTAAAAAATCTTTTTAAGAACTTCGATTTTCAAAACGTGTTCGAATTGAAAACGTATTAACTTTTTCAGCATCACGATAGTCAGCCAGCTGTTTAGCTGCAATTCCTCTCTCTTCACCCTGTGATAGCATCATATATATGGTATATCTTCTTTACTGGCAAAATCTAAAGAAAAAAAGTAGAAGTGCTGGTTCTATGCCTTTTTATGTGTCAAATTCTCATTCCATATCACAGTATAGTGGTGGAGAGTGTTTCGTGTAAATTCGGTGTATCCTATTTACCAATTGGTGGTGTCATATTCAGAAGAAAAGGTATTCCTTTTCAATGGGAGCATTTGGATAATTGGTGTGTGTGCCCGTGTCCCCTAAATAATGCATCTTTTAGTTTTTTACTCCAAAATAAAATGTTCTATATATTTTATGCAATAATTCATGCATTAATGTCTAATCAATAAAACTTTTAAAGTGTATACAGTTAATAGTTTTTTCCTTTTTTCAAATATATGTATGTAATATAGTTTACTCCTTTTTTGGACGTATGGAACTCTCTCACACACACATTCTTGAATAGGCTCTCGGGAATAAAAATATTATTTTAAATAGTGAATTTTGGAGGATTTGTGGTTAAAAAATAGAAAAAAAATTAGGGTTTAACATGAAGAATATTTTATTGTATAAATGTGTGATTAAAAATAAGTATATAAAAAAATAAGAAACAAACAAGTGCTAGAGGTCTATCAAATTTACGATTCTTTTTTGAGTCATGCTTGATGTACACTTTTTTGGTGTACATCATGCATGACATTCCTCTCACAAAGGTGGGGGTCTTGCAATTTAAAAAATAATGGGCTCCACACACTTTTGTGAGAGGAGTGTCAAAGTTAATGTACACAAAAGTGTACAAATGACTTTTTCCTTCTTTTTTGAAGTGCCCATAACTTGTTTGTACTGCACTTATTTTAGTCTTGAAAGAACCAGTTTAGGAGGGGTGTCAAGCCACATATCAAAACTTCTCATAAGTTGACACCCCTTGAAGAGAAGACTCGAGCCATACTAGCACATATGGCTCCTTATTGTACTTTATTTTTTCTTTATTTATTTTATAAAATAAAGAGCAAAATAAATATGCGTTGGAATTTGGAAAATAAACTAGGGAGTAATGCTACACTTACATACTTGATTCACATTCACTTTCACATCCCTCTCACATAGGGGGTGGAGTCCGCGATTTTAAAAATTGCGGGCTCCACCCCCTATGTGAGAGGGATGTGAAAGTGAATGTAAATCAATGTGTGTACATTTAGCATTTTTGTTACTTCATGAAACAGCCATACGATCAGATTAATTTAAGCTAACCTATTTTCCATATCTACTACTTCTAAGGATAAACCTATAAAAATGCATATGATTTTGACTTCCATATTCTTATCTATGAAAAAACTCTTAAGCCCATACAAATTGAAAAATTAAATCATTAATCTTAGTAACCGTAGCATTAATCAACACAATAAATATCTAGTCGAGTCTCATATGTTTTGTAAAGATAGATATGGCTAATGGATAAGATACATAAAAAGATCAGTTAAACATCAAATGATAGAAAAATACAAAGAAATTGTGACTCATATAAAAAGCCATTATTTAATCTAAAACACGTTTTGATTTGACACATCACATAATACTGAGACAAGAAGTGCTTGTTGGAGTCTCATTTTTGGTTAAGAATACATCTTGAAATAATAAATTGATGAAGAATGTATGGTTAAAAAATAAATAATTTTTTAAAATTTACAAGTAATATTATTTTATTGAAAAATGTGGGATTGAAAATAAGAGAAAGAAAAACGTATTTTAAAAATAATTGTTGACCTATGGTCGATCTTATGTTTTGATTATAAAAAACAAAGTATGTTTATCTTTAACATTTATATTCGAGTCTTCATTGTTACATGTTGCGAATTTGATGGAAAATAGAGCATTCACAATCAAGTTTGAAAATCAAGCATTCTCAATCGGGTACTCGCGCCAAAACAATCGGAGACAAATCAAACATTTACGTCAAATTCAAAATCGAGCAACAAATCGTGCACTCACACCAAATAAATCGAAGATATTAGAACTATATGTTTGAACTCACTTTTAAAGGTAAAACAATTTAATCCTTAATAATGATTCATTGAAAGCTTAAGTGACGAATTTTTATGCACGATAAAAGTTTATTTCGTAAAATCGTTTGCACAAAAAATATTTTTCAAATGTAAGAATTTCAATTTAATTTTTAATCCATTAGCGTCACTTACCTTGGAAAATTTAAAGTCTACTTTGTTAGAAAATCAAAACGGACAAACCGGGGATAATTTTTTTCTCTCTGTCCATCCGGACGTCTGAATAGTGAACCGGATGTCCGGTTCACCTCCAACAATCCAATTTTCGACCATTCTAATTTCTGATGAAATAATAGCTTTTCAATTGTCCGGTACCGTTCCGGACATCCAGATGATTGTCTGGTTCGACAAAGAATTTCACGTTTTCAACTGCTATAAATACCAACTCACTTGCCATTTATTACAACAACTTAAGAGCATTCTAGTGAGATTCTTTTGAGCAAAATTGCATTAATTTCTCATATCATTTATTATTATCAAATCATTTTAGTTTTTGAAAAACTTTTGATCAAATTAACTTGAGAAAATCATTTTATATATCAAAATTTTTCACACCTAACACTTGAGCTTCATTCATTGCATTTATTAAAGTGTTAGCTTATTTCCCTCTGGTACTTAGTTGTGATCATATCATTTATTAAGAGAGAATTCTCAATTTATATAATCAATT